TATATTAATTAATTATTATTTTCTAATCTTCCCCACTGCAGTTTTTATTCCATGAAAACAGAGACTTGGTTTGTTTGCTGCTACATTCTTTTTTTTTTTTTTTTTTTGTGGTACCGAGGATCAAACTCAGGACGTTGCACTTGAGAGGCAGGCGAGGTACCACTGAACTAAATCCCCAGCCCTTCGCTGCTACATTATTAATGATTAAAACAATACCTGGACATAGTCCTTAATCAACAATTTCATTGAATAAGGACTAAATGGTGAAACAATGCATTAATGAATGAATGAATGGCTCAGGGTTTCTAACCTCAAAGAGTTATGTGGTAGAGGAAGATATAAAATGAATGAGTGAATAAGACCTTATGGCTTGTGTGGGAGGGTGGTGACTTAGCACTGGGTGCTAGAGCTGGATTGTTGAAATTTAAATCCCTGTTTCACTTATTAGCTGTGTCTTCCATGGCTGATTATTTAGGATCTCTGGGTCTGGTTTTTCTTATCTGTAAAATTGGGATAATAATACCACCTAAGGGGATTATTGTGAGAATCAAAAGAAACAATCCATGCTAAGCACTCAGCACAACACCTGGCATAGAGTAAGTTCATTAGTATTGGCTCATTTTGCCAGAATCAAGTAGAGCCCACAAAGTTCTTCAGGATTACTTTCATCCTGGTCTGGTGTTGCTGAGACTTTCCTGTTGAGGGGCAAAGGTTAGAAAGCTACCTCCTACCAGAGACACTGTTCCTGGGGACAACTTTATCTTAGGGTTTCTTTGAGCCACAAGTGCTCCTGCTCCTCCCTGTCAAACAGATATTAAGCATTTCTTCTGCCCAGATAGGCTCTAAGGAATGCAGACATCCCCTCTGGAAATAACTCTTTCCTGTTTAAATAACAGTATCCAGTTAAATAGTTAGTGTTTTTCTATATTCTAGCAATTTTTAGGATATCGTAAGTAATCTCTAAAGGCTGTACTTTGGGAGGATTTGTAAATCTTTCTTTTACCTTGTGATAACAAAACTATGTCAAAGGTCATCTGAGAATTTGTATTTTAATAGAAATTTTATAAGCTACCATTTACAAAAGGGCATTGCTCATTGGTAAGACTTCTTATGAGGTTGGGCTTTGATCTTAAATCCTAAGGAGGTTTTGCAGAAATTGGAGGTGACATTGCTGACAGATTTGTCTGTAGCTTTTTGACTCCCGTTAATTAAGCACACATACGCATGCTCTTTGTTTACTCCACAGGAGGAAAAGAATTGAATTTGACTTTAATTTTTATGGGAAACTATGAGCGGGTTCGGGAAAACATCAAAGAAGTATTCTTAATCTGATAAAATAGACTCAAATGAACATCAGAGAATTCTGGATTCCAATGGGGGTCTAGTTTCATCTGTAAAGCATTCATTCTCCTTAATGATAAGAAAGGTGAGGGCCAAGTACTCATTCCTCCCCCAGTTGGTTAAATCCAGAAGGTTCCTGGCTCTTTAACTTTATCTTACATCCAGAAGTCTCCTTTGTGCTTTCGCATTTTCATACTACTTATCCCTTCAAGATTTCAGCTTTAAAAACTTAATTAACACTTGCTTTTTCACCTTGATTTTAGATCTTTTGAGTAATCACCACTATCTCAAAGCTTCCTTCTTATGCTCCTAAGCCTTTAAAAATGAAAACTGAGACAGGCTAAGGCACTTGAACAAGCTCAAGGCCAGATGGTGCTTCTGCAGAGGCAAATCTGGACCTAGCAGTAGGGAGGTCCATTATCATATCTGCTTCCTGAACCCCACTAGACCAATAATTTGTTCATAAAGCAAATAGTTCTTCTGTGCTTGTCAGGTGCAGGCATCATTTTAAACCCTAAAAGTAGTAAACAGCCAGGCATGGTGCACACCTACAATCCCAGCACTTGGGAGGCTGAGGCAAGAGGGTTGCAAGTTCAAGCCCAGCCTGGTGAATTGAGCAAGGGCCTATCTCAAAATAAAAAATAAGAAGGGCTGGAAATGTAGCTGAGTGGTGGTAGAACACCTCTGGGTTCAATCCTCAGTACCGAAAAAAGAGGGAAGGAGGGAGGGAGAAAGGGAGAGAGAGAGACAGAGAGAAAGGTGAGCAATAGAGATAAATAAAACTTGGTTTTATAGAGTTTGTTCTAATGGACAGTTAACACAGTAAGTTAATTTTACGGTATACTAGAAGGTGTTCAAAGCTATAGATAGAAATAAGATAGTAAAGGAAATGATGTGAGTTATTCTGTGGTTTAAACAGGGTGGTCAGGGAAGGCCTCACTGGTAAGGTAGCATTGAGCAGTTTGAGGGAGCTGACCATTGGCATAGATGGGAGAAGAAACAGAAGCAAGTGCAGAGTGTGGTGGTGGTGGTAGGGGGTGTAGGGGCAAGGGCTGGCCAGGGGTGCAGAGGCAAGATTGAGAGAAGGATAGATAGAGCTACTGGGCACATAATTCAGGGCCTGCGATTCTGTGGGGTTTTCTCAGATGGGAGCCATGGGAGGGTTTTAAAGATGCAGTTACCATCTGATTTACATCGAGCAGGATCACGGTTATAGCGTGGCAGGAGATTAGACTAGTTAAGTTGCTGTTGCACTGATCTAAGCCAAAGATGGTGACATTTTGAGGTTGGAAACAACAGAACTGAGGAGAAGTGCTTGGATTCAGGGATATGTTACAGAGGCTGAGCCATGAGGGTTTCCTGAGGGGTTGGGAGGGTGGAGTCAGGGATGCCTGTAAGGTTTGAGCCTGAGCAGCTGGACTCTGTGCTCTGCTTCATGTGCCTTGTTATTATTGAGGCTCTTCCATGTCTCCCATTTATCATCAAATGATCACTGTGGCCCTATCTGTGAACCTGTAGGCCCTCTGGTAGCCAAGACAAATGCCTTTATGATCGTCTGAGCCACAGAAGATGCCAGGTGAATTAATGATTAATTAAAGACCTTTGCTCACCAGTGCTTAGTCTTTCTTGACACCACCTGACTGTACATTGTGGCATCTTACTCGGGGTGGGGGTCACTGCAGTAGGTATTGGTGCCATCTAAACTTGCATGGAAAAATACAGAAAAAGAGCAAGCAAGCAGGAGAAGTGAAGCAAAAATAGAGACAAAGAATAGGAAGATCTGAAAACATTTAGTATAAAACTCTTAAAAAATCTCAGAAACATAAAGTGTGTGTCCTCCTTGTGAGCATTTCCTCCTTGGTTTCTATCTCTCATTGCTTCCAATCAGAAGGTAAAAGTGATGGTATTTCCAGAATATTGAGACAGGGAGGGAGGGAGAGAGGGAGGGAGGGAGGGAAGGAGGGAGAGAGGGAGGGAGAAAGAAAGAGAGAGAGAATTTGACACTAACTAACAGGACAAAAACAGAGTAAGTCCCGCCTTTAGTCATTGAGGTCTGACAGGAGAAGAGTTTATGGGTCACTCTAGGAGGTGCAGTGACCTCCCAAGAGCCTGCCTCTTTGCTGTACCCAGCTCAATCTTTCCTTCTTCAGCAAACCACAAAGCCTTTTGTAAGAACATGAGGACAGAGTTCACTACGATGGTGGCCAAGGATAGAGGGAAAAAATCCTACTGTGATTATTTAGTAGGAATCTTGTTTCCCATCCCTGCCTTGCTTGCATGGGGTTGAGTAAATCCTAATTTGTCTGAGTTCTTATCTCAGGAAGAGCAAAGGGTAGCTAGCCCAGGAAGCCCTCTAAATAACAGATGTGGACAGAATGAAGGGGAACAGAGAGGGCGGAGGCCAGTGGAAAATATCTTCAGGAGGCCAAGAAATCCTTATGGCTGATGAACTACAGAAAGGAGCAGGTGTGTGGGGGGTGCCTAAGGGCACAAACTGGGACCTACCAGGATGGGGTGGGTCCTGGGGACACCAGATGGACTGGCAGTCAGTCAAACCAGATGGTGGGCTTTTATTTTTAAGAGGATTTGTAAATCTTAGGAGAAAAAGGAACCATAAGGGTACTGAGGCCTTTAATCCAATTAAAAGACAAAAGTGTGTTCTTTAAAAACGTAAGCCTACCAATTATAGAATTTTTCTTATCAAAACCTTGGGCAGACAACCATCTTGTGAAACTCCAGGGACTCTAAATTGCTCATGGGTAGGAGGAGTAACTGCAGCAATAGCCCCAGCATTATAAATGAATAGAGACTCCTCCTCCTTAAGGATTGAATGTGAATTTACTAAATGTACAGTCTGAACCAAATAAAACATATTTGCAAAAAATGGGGTTGCTTATATATGGAGTTAGAAGAACAGCTAACAGTGAGGTGTTCAATTTATTTGGTAAAATTTAAATATGTAATAAACAATATTTAAAAATCTAAGTGCCTTTTACTTTCCAAAATACTGCACCCCTGGGCCCCTCTTCCTTAGTTTCTGTGTCTGGGCCTGGCTCACAGCTGCTCTTCAGTTTCTGTAGCACAAGAACTCTGGTCACCAGCCGTTGACCACTATCTTGACCTTTATTTGGAGATCCACAGTCATTTCCAGGATCCTTCTTCTTCTCCAGCATGACCTCTCTGGAAGGAGACCGACTCCCAAGTGCAGTTGAGAGTCCCCCTTTTGTGCCCACGTGTGGCCTGAGCAGCTGTGTGTGCCAGCAGAGCCATGCCTGCCTTGGTTGCTAGAGCAGCAGGGCGGAGTGTGGGCTTTGGTGTGCAACACAGTTCAAGAGGCCTCTGCCTTCTTTTATTACACAGCATCTGACTCTCCTGCTGAAAGAAAAAGCCTACTCTAATCTAAAATCCTCAAACACATGTTAAATGTGAAGAGAAAGTTTTAAGTAGTGTTATTATTAAATTGCTTTTCTCTTTGGAATATACAGATATACCATTCAGTAACTGTCAGTAATATTGCAGCATTTTTTATGCTGTTTATAAATATTTCTTTCCTTAGTCACTCCCAAGATGTGTACATGTTATTTTGTGGCTAAAGTGAACAGAACAGCTCCTCAATGCCATTGACTGTTTTGTTTGCTTGTTTGTTTTTATCTGTAAAGATACGGAAACCTGACAGGCCCAAGCTGTGAAGAAGATGGAAGCCCGAGTTCATCAGAGTCCAAGGCGGTGATCAGGAAGTGAGTGCATCTTTTTTTCACATTATTAGCTCAGTCAAGACAATATCATAAAAGTTATTAGTAGTTCAGTAGAGCTTCTTATATTCCTTTCCATGATGCATACAAACATGGGCTTAATTTTTACTATCTAACAATCATCATTTATTCATCTAGGAAAAATATATGGGGCACCTTGTATTTGCCAGACATCGTGCTAAGGGATATAAAATAGGTAAAAAAAAAAAAAACCAAATGAGACAAAACTAAGAAAATCTTACCTCTTTTTATATTTCAGCAGAGAAAGATACAGAATAAACATCAAAAAGTGACAAAGAATGAAACAAGGATAGAGGCTAGGTCACCTGGGGTGCCTCCTGGGGCTGTGGGCTCTGGCGACATGGAGTGCTGCTGTCTGAGGTGCTGACTAAGCTCAGGCAAAGCAAGTGTGGAAGAGGCCCCGAGGCAGGAACAGTGCAGGAGAAGCCTCAGGAAGCCGAGTGAGTGGAGCAGCAGTGCTAGGTGGTGAGATGTGTAAGGCAGAGGGTGTCCAGGTCACGTGTGGATGTGAAGAGCGCAGGAGAGGACATTGACTTTGACTCTGAAGACGGCAAGAAGCACGTACAAAGCTTTGAGAACATGGCCTAACTCTATTTTAAAAGGCTTGCTCTGGCTTTGGGTGGAACATAGACTGTGGCAGTGCTGATGGGCAAAAGGGTGATTGGAACCCTTTCTAGGATCCAAGCAAAGGTTGTGGTGGTGTGGACTTGGGCAGGGACAGTGGAGGTGCTCTGCTTCTACAGGTGTCTTGAAGGTTGGCAGGATGTGCTGGAGCTCTATGAGAGAAAAAGGGAGGCCAGGTTGCAACCCAGGTTAGGGTTTGAGCACCTGGTAGAACAGAACCTTGGCTTTAGGAGGCAAGAAAGGCGAGTAATGAGCAGGTTTGGTGAGAAAGTGTGTCAATAAGTCATAGACCTGTAAATTTCAAGGTCGCTGGATGAGTCTGGATTTCAGGGAGGGGTCTGGAGTGAGGTTATACATTTGTGTATACTTGGTTTACAGATGGTATTTGAGGCCATAGGAATGGCTGGGACCTCCTGGGGACCAACGGTAGAGAAAGAAGAGAGAAGGTCCAGGGACTGAGTCTTGGTGTCCTCCAGTGTTTAGAGTTAGAAAAACAGAGTTTGGTGGAGGAGACCAGAACAGAGAAGCTGTGGGGGGATGTGGGGAAAGAGAACAAAGAAGAGGAAGTTGTGTCCCAGAAGACAAGGGAAGGAGGGGGTTGGGGGGGGGAGTGGCAGCTATGCCCAGTGCTGTCTGTAGCTCAAGTGAGGGTGGCCTGGGGGGACTTGCACTTTGCAATGCTGCAGGCTTCAGTGACCCTTGACCAGCGCAGCTTTGTAGGATGCAGGGTCAAGAGAGGACAAAGGGGAAGAAGCAGGGACAGTGGGGAGGAGTTTTGGTCTGAAGGGGAATTAAGAAAGGGGATGAAGAGTGATCTGGGGACAAAGGAGGTCGTTGTTGTTGTTCTTGTTTTTTGTGTGTGTGTTTTTTAAAAGTGGGAGGTTGTTTATGCTGATGACACTGATCTGGGAGACACTGAGGGAACACCTGGGATGCAGGGGTGGGGCTTCTCTAGGGATGATGTTCCTGAGTACCTGAGATGTATGCTCTGGTGCCCGAAACCTCTGGTTTTAAATATTCATTTTGGGAGGCAAAAGTTGAGGAAATCCTGTGGAATTTTTAACTCCTCAGAGGAGTTATTGGTGAACTTCTTTCCTCAGGAGCCAGAGACATGAAAGTCAGAAAACCGAAAGCCTCCGAAACTCCTGAATTAAGCTCCATGTGGTTTTATAATTTTATTTTATAATTTCATTGCAGAAAACCAGACTCGTTAATGTAGATACTTGGATGCTAAGTCAAGGAATGGCAGGAAGAACAGTCACATTGTTTCTAGAGGGCTTAGGGAGGGCCCTGGGAGGAGGTGACAGTGAAGGGTGGTCAAGACTTGGGTAGTAGAGGCATCCAGGGAAAGGGAACAGGTCACTAGATCAGGGAAGTTGGTTTACATGGAATTCTGGAGAACAACACAGAACTGGTATGATTGACTCGTGGTGGACATCTTGGGTGAGGGGAGTCTGTGGAGCTGAAGCCAAATTGAGGTTATATTGTGAAGGGCTTCAATTTCTCATGAGAGTTTGGACTTTTCCTGGTAAGCAGTGACCAGCCAGCTGTAAAAAGTTCTTACAGAAGGGAAACAATCTAATTCAGTAGATGATTCTTTTAGAATGCATTGCACTTTGAGCTTTGCTACTCAGGGTGACTATGGACTACAGCACCAGCATCAGATAAGAGCCTGTGAGAAATACAGTCTCGAGCTCCACCCAGATGCCGCGCTAGATGAGGGGCTGGCTGCAGTGTACAGGGTTCTCACGTGAAACAGTTTAGGGTTTGCAAACCATAGACTTAGGGATATTTTTAAAACAATTTTATCCATGAAAACTCACTAAAATAATGTTTCTTAATAAAGAGCCTTTTTATAATGGATATGTAACGGGTAGTTTTGAGCACACATGGAAGGAAATACTGTAAGAATTGAGTGACCAGCTTGTCCAGCATAACCACCTCAATCTGTGACCAGATTCTGATTCAGACACAAACATGTTGTCATCTACATGTGTTGGAACAGAGTCAAATCTAGAGCTGCTGTTCAGTTAGCCCCCTGAGTACATGAAGAGGATCAGTCAAAAAGATACACAGAGCTTTCTTTTCTGTTTCCCCGGGGGTGTTTTGAGATTAAATAGGTTTGGGGAAGTAGCAGTTAAGAAAATTGTACCCTGGATGTGAAAAGTCATGTTCATTATTTCAGGGTCCCACTGAAATTCATTGTGTGCTAGGGACACTAACGTGGGTGACACCCCGGGCTAAGCTGTTCCAAAGGGCTTTAGAGTTTTAAGCACATGAAGTTTCAACAAAGAGCTTCACACAGAACTCCCCTGAGGGGTCCATCATATGGGGACAATGGTCCTTTCCCAAAACCTCACAATGACTTTGTGGAAAGTTCTTGACCCTTTTCCTCAGACTGAGTTGCCTTTTCTAAAAAAAAATCATGCCTGATGAGAATATAAGACTTTATTTTACAGTGGGTTTCTCTGTCATACAAATTCTGGAATGTTAACACCGCATTTCACTGGTGACCTCTTTCTTCTTCTATTTCTCTTTCTTCTGTCTTTCTCACTGTTTTTCTTTTTTCCCACTTCTTTTATTACTTTTTAATCTCACTTCATGATTACCTGTTTGCTCTTTTTTTCTGAAGTTATCCTTCTGAAAATTTCCATTCTTAGATAGTGTCACTGTTTTGTCTTTCTGGAGGAAACCAGGGAAGCATCTTCTTCCATCTATGTGGGCTTTGAACTCCTTGGTTCTCCCAGGCCTCTGGCATCTGACTTGTAGCAAGGGTTGAAGGCTTCCTGATGGCTGATAGATGTGTATGAAATATGGCTGTGTGGCTTTGGTTCTTAATGGAGTGACTTTGTCTCCTAGAGGTCATTTGGCAGTGTTTGGAAACATTTTGGTTTTCTTAACTTTGGGGAGGGTTGCCACTGGGCAGGGGCCAGGAATGCAACTAAGCGTACTAGAATGTGTAGCAAAGAGTGATCGGACCGTAACTGTCAATAGAGCCTACCCAAGAAACCCCGCTACAAAGTGTTCAGGCGATAGTCCTCAAGTGAAAACTGTATCTACGTACATTTAAGCATGCTTATTTAGAAAATTCATTCATGCCCTTTCTTTAATTAGTGGTAGTTCAGGATCAGCCACATGGAAGGTGAAAGGTCCTGGATGAGGAACCTGGAGAATGCAGATTGTAGCTCTATTCTATCGCTCTGTCATTTACCAGCCATGTGGCCTCAGCTTCATCACGTTACCTCTGTTTCAGATTCTTCACCTGAAAAATGAGTGCTTGGAACATATGATCTCTGATGTTCTTTCAAGTTCAGTGATGTCTGTGATAAAATTTGTTTTTGTTTGTTTAAAAAAATGAGTATCAGAAGCCAGGTGTGGAGGCACACATCTGTAATCTCAGCACTCAGGAGGCTGAGGCAGGAGGGTCACGGCCAGCCTGGGCTGCATAGTGAGTTCAAGACCAGCCTGAACGACATAGCAAGACCCTATCTCAACAAAACAAAACAAAACAGTATCAGGAACTGAAACAGAGATATGGGTCCAAATGTTATATTGAAGTTTTGAGAAATATTCTTGACCGCTTTTCTTTGTTGAAAAGTCTGTGTAATTGGCCCTGATAAAGTGAGAAAAAAAAAAAGTAGATTGGTTTTGTATGCTTATTTAGCAATCGTGACACCACACTGCTCACTGTGGTCCTAAGTAAAGAGCTAAGCTAAAACATTGTCCCATGGGGTAAGAAAGGCTGTGGCACAATGCCCATTGTTTTCCTTTGCTATGAATGTGTTCTCTTGTGATTTCAGGTGGGCCACAGACCGCAGGAACCCAGTGACATTCTAAGAAGTAAACATCCTGCTTTAGGGCAGTCGCTTTCAATTTTGCAGACCTGGGTGGACAGGGAATGGGGACAGGGAATCACTATTTTTTTTTAAATTTATTTATTTTTTTGAAAAGAACTTATTTTAAGATGAGGAAAAGGCTTAGGACAGGTTTAAAAAAGGAGAAGCATAAGTTGTGATGTTTAGATCATTTTGTTACAGTATAAAATTTCTGGAAATGAGCTAACTAGAAAGACACAGTAAGTATTTACAGAAACATCGACGACATCAACAAGGAACTCAACTCGGAACAGTGCAGGTCTTGAGGTTTCCAGGCTGAACTCTGGGGACTTCCGGGAAGGTCGGGCGGCCGCCGGAGCTCGAGTGAGCACAGCGGCTGATCGATGCTGGCCCGGGCATTGGCGGGGCAAGTGGAGCGGTCGGGCGCGGGTGTAATTCCTCCCGCCTGCCCACTGTGTGGAGGTCACGCGAACTTAGCCGAGGTGGTTTTCTTTAGCCTCTGAT